GTCTTTGTCTGCAATCATTAGACATGTTTTTTTTTTATTGTCACTAGTGATTATCTCAATTTCGGCTAAAAGACGACAAAATCCTACACACTATGCCTGTAAGCAAATCTAAAAAGTTTTCAATGGGGTTGAGTTCAGGACCACAGGTGGGCTATGCCATTTTCTCCATTTCTAAACTCTGATAAACCCCACTTTGTGAGGGTGAGCCGGGTCATCTTAGAGGATAGAGTTAAATTTTAAACTGTGAAGTTGAAGGATTGCCACTGATTGCCCCACACCACTACACTGCCTCCACCAAACGTTATCCATTCGGTGCAACAATCAGAGTAGTGTCCTATGTCTGTATGTTTGCAGAATCTGGACTCATCATTTAATATAACATTTATCCATATARCCAGATTCCAGTGCACATGTTGCATGTCATGGCAGAACGTCTGGTAGCCTTATGAKACTGAAAACTGGCTGTGTGCAGTTTCTTCTGAATTGTCCATATAAAGAACTCTTGGCCGTATCATCTTGCACACATTACAGGTTCTGTAGAAGACTGCCTACGGATCTTAAATGCTGATAGAATGGCGTGTCCTTGGGACTTTCACTTCATGGCCRTTATTTTAAAATTGGCCTTCAATTTGGAGATGACAGTGCTGCAACTTGGTTTTGCTGAACACCAGCTTGAAGTTGTTCTTGTGGCACAGGCTCTATGAAGATCAGTCAAATGTGCTATGTTTGGAGCTGACACCAACTGACCTCTGTTGCAGGGTCCATGCTTATAGCAGCATAACAAGCTGTTTAGAATTGGCAGAGGTTTTGCAAAGTTTTTATGGGTGCAACCCACATACTTAAATCTACTGCTCAAACCACAAATGCATTTTTCTTACAAATMTGGCACCATTTACCAGGAAATAAACAGGGTTTACAATGGTATGAGATTTGCTGTTAAGAAAGCATTTTTGCAACAAAAAAACAATTGTCAGTCCTAAACTAGTTTCTTATGCATTGTTTACAATACGCAAAATACATCCATTTTCCAAAATTATTTTTAACTTACTGCTTATAACTCTTGTAACCTTGCTGACAGTGGGTTTTCGGCTGATGACCCTGGTTACTTTAGTCGAGGAAGGCTTTGCTTCAATGACCCTTGTCACTTTGGTCACTGGAGACTCACCCTCAACAACCACCTTTGACATCGATGGTTCTGCTTCAATGACTCTTGTTACCTTGGCAATGGACGGCTGCGCCTCATTAACCTCTGTAAGCATGGTCTTGGCAGGCTGTCCTTCAATAACCCTGGTAACCTTGGTCTTGGCCGGCTGCCCTTCAATAACCCTGGTAACCTTGGTCTTGGCTGGTTGGCCCTCAATAACTCTGGTGACCTTGGTCTTGATCGGTTGTCCCTCAATAACCCGGGTCATCTTGATGACAGATGGCTGTCCTTCAATGACTCTGGTYACTGTTTTACTTTCAGTGTCCCCACCTAATAAGAAATAACTGGTATTAATTATTAGTTCAGAAAGAAATGTTAACCAAAGAATGCTAATTATTTTTTTCTCAAGAATTAATTTAACTATTTTGTAAAACTGAAAAAGAAAATGTATATACACTAAATGACCAAAAGAGTTTGTGTCAAGAGTGAATAATCCTATTTGGGTATATTTTGGCACACTTGCAGACCAACAATGGTTGTGATTCAGTTTGCAAAAAGCTAGCACAAATGAGCACCAGGGTATCTTTAGTGGTACAATAGTGTTGTCAGACAGGTTTCAGGAGCATATACCTGATATACATGTCTGACAATGTAAAAAAAACATTGGTATAAWATGATGCTTATTTAGTTTACTTGCATTTGGGAGAGCTGACAAAT